CACTTTACGAAGACCACCAGGTCTCTCTTCCGCGACACATCTCCGAAAGCCATACCAAACTCATGCACAGGGCAGAACTGCCCCGGGTGGGTTTCTGAGACTGTAACTCTTGATGTGAGTCGATAGAAAGCCAAGGCTTTCTCCCTTGGAGGGGCTGGTGGTTTCGAACTGCTGACCCTGTGGCTAGCAGCCTAACCACTATGCCAGCAGCGCTCCAAGGCACATCCGGGTGGGTTAACTTGACCTCAAAACACACTCAAGTGCACGAACCCTTTGCACTCTCAGGGGACACAGAGGCAAGTGCACAGGGAGGCGGTCCAGGAAAAGTTGTGCTGCCACAACCCTTTCTCTGTAGCCCCGTGGGGGTGTGGTCACACGGTGGGTGCCCCTCCCACCTGGTGGAGCGCCAGCAGGAGTGCAGGCGATCCTGGCAAACATTTCATTAGGCAGATCCCATAAGATCATGGCATACTGAGTTCTACTGAGAGTCAAGGAAAAAGGCACACAAGCTCTGTGTAAGCAAACTTGCCAGAGGGCGGCACTGGATCCCCAGCATTTATTCTGAAAGCAACCATCGGAATGCCCAGCGCCCCTCCCAATGGGGTGTCCTTGCAATGGGGTATCTACACATTGACAGGCCTCCTTCTAACTCCGGGGTTTGAAGTTTGAAAAGCGATGGCGAGGAGGCCTCATCCAAGAAGAATGAGAGCGCCCCTGCACCCCCGGCCCTCCAGCCTCGCGTCTGCCCCTCTACACGGGGTGAGTGGCGGGTAGCGGGGCGTGGGGGTGGGGACGGCGTTCAGCGGACGCTCCGTGGGGCAGCCTCTGCCGGTGCTCAGCCTGTGCGGAGCTCAGTTTCTCGGCTGGGAGTTGAACTCTGCACAAATGTTCTGGAGGATCCGGGGGACGGATTTGTAGAGGTTGTCGAACTCGTCCACAAAGAAGGCGTGGTCCCTGGCAGGGTGGGTGGCGATGACGTCCAGCTCGTCCTGCGCGGCCCAGGCAACGCCAATCGCGTAGGTGATTATTCCTGCGGGGACAAGGGCAAAGGGACCTCAGGAAAGGGCATTGCCAAGGACGCAGCGCCTTCCTTTGCTTGGTGGGTCGCTGACTACAAGTGCAGCCAAAGATGTCCAAAGGCTTCCCTACGGGTCTCCAGAATTATGCTCCAATACCATTCTTTATCCCTGCATCCATCCACTCACCCATGCACCACTCAGGCCCCGGCTCACCGAGGAGCCAGCAGGAACAAAATGGTAGCCTTGCTGCCTGCAGCTGTTCAGAGTCTTCTCTGCGGGCGGAGGGGAAGCGGACAGATGAGGGTCAGCATGTGACAAGAATTCCACCCCCTAGTGCAGGCGGAGGGGAGGATTGCTTAGGGACAGGGCCCAGCTAGTGGCGAAGGCAGTGAAATCAGTTCAACAACTGCCTAACGACCACAGTGGAATGGAATCGCCTTACGTTTGAGGGTGACTCCAGAAGTCCCTCGGGGCGCAGTGGCAAAGTGCTTGGCTGCTAACCACAAGGTCTGTGCCTCAGATCTCACCAGCTGCTCGGAGGAAGAAAGGTGTGGCAGTCCGCCACAGTACAGATTACAGCAGTAGAAACTGTGCCAGGCAGCTCTACTCAGCCTCACAGGGTTGACAGGAGCTGGAATTGACTTTGGTTTCGAAACCGGAGTCCAGTCTCCTCTCCAGGGCAGGAACCCTGCACAGGTGCCCTGGGACTGGTGGTCTGGTCTAGCCAGCCCCTGCTCCACCACTTCCAGTGAGGGGGGTTGCCAGCAGCGCTACAAGCTGCAGGGAGGGCACATAGGATGAGAACAAAAAATCTTCCTTGGATTTAAAAGAAACCAAAGGAAAGGACGTTGAAATAAAGAAGACTCAAGAAGAGTCGATGCATTTGAATTGTGGGCCTGGTGCAGAATATGTAAAGTACTCTGGACGGCTAGAAGGATGAATCGATCTGACTTGGAAGAAGTACAGCCAGCGTGTTCCTTAGAGGCAGGGATGGTGAGACTTGACCTTACGTACTTTGGACATCGTTTCTGGAGAGATCAGTCTCCGGAGAAGGACATCATGCTCGGTCAAGTTGAGGGGCATCAAAAAAGAGGAAGGCCTCAACGAGATGGACGGATGAACACCGTGGCTGCAACACTGGGCTCAAAGCAAAGGGATACGTGTGAGGCTGGTACAGGACCAGGCAGGGCTGTGTTCTGTTGTGCGTGGGGTCGGTCATTATGGGGTCAGAACCGACTTGATGGCACCTAACAACCACAGCAACGAAGGAAGGGACGAAAACAAGCAACAAAACCCCAACCCCAGGCCGTGGTCGGAGCAGTTTGGCAGAAGAGGTGGTAGGTGGAGAGAACAAGCAAACTGCTGGGAGGAGACAGTGAACAAGAACGGAGACGTGGAGAGAGCAGGCATGTTGTCAGTTGCCACACAGGGTGCCCCCAAGTGTTTCAGAGTACAACTGCGTCACCGGGCTTCCTGGGCACTCCTTTCCCAAGCAGTAGAGCCAGGTTTTTCTTCCGTGGAGAGACTAGGTGGGCTCGAACCAACAGCCTTTGAGATTGGCAGCTAATTGCAAACCGCTCGCATTACCTAGCCAAACCAAAATCCAAACTCATAGCCATCGAGTTCATACCGTATAGAGCCAGGTAGAAGTGCCCCTGTGGGTTTCTGAGATGGTAACTCTTGAAGGGAGTAGAAAAACATGTCTTTTCCCATGGAGCTGCTAGTAGCTTTGAACTGATGACCTTGCAGATCACAGCCCGATGTGTAAACACTACATCAGCAGGGCTCCTTAGATACCCAGCAGGTACAGCTAGTCTTTTGGCAGTGAAGGGGAGGAGGCAGGTGGTAACTGAAGCAACACCTTGGGGTTAAGGAGGATTTTTCCGGATGGGGCGTGCAGGTGGGAACTGAATGTGTCTTGGTGTGGATGGGAGAGAGGACAGTGGGAATAAAGGTGCTGAGCTGTAAAAAAGGCAAAGGGCGGGCGGGAGGGCCCCATAGATGTCGCAGGGAGGGCAGAGAGGCTGGGCTTCTCAGCTTAGGCATCCGTTCTTAGTGGATGATTCTGGATTTGAGCCGGGGCCACTGGTCAACAAAAGCCTGCCCCTGACTCCAGCTCACACAGAGGGCAGAGCCTGGTGTGGCCCCCACCGGGCACGGGACCCTGCCTCCCACACTCCAGCACCTTCTCCTGTTGACTGCAGAGCCAAACCTGCCCACAAGCTTCTGGTGAAAGCTGCTTTCAGCGGTGGCCCAGTGAGTGGCATTCCATCCCCCAGCTGCTTTTCTCATCGCCAATGACTTTCCTCTGAACACGGTCATGACTGGGAAGGGCCGGTCTGTAGCTTTACAATCCTGCTATGAGGTTGGGAGCTGGGGGTGGCTTCACTGCAGGGCAGACTCAGACTGACAGGCTGTTGTTCTGCTCAGAGTTGGCAAGGCTTGTCCCCAATAAGGACAATACAAGCAGGGTTAGAAATGTAGCTTCCAGGTCTTTGTGTCTGCCTGCCTTCTACAGGCAATTCTGACAGATGGCTGTCAGCCCCTGCTTCCACGCTCCCAGGGACGAAATGCTCCCTGACTTTCAGACAAGTCTTAGCGGTCGGTGGAGCAGGAACCTGGCTCCAGGAAATTTGTACCCAATGGTCCCATGACTTGCAGGTTTCCCCAGATCATGTCGTCACTGATAGCTCCCTGGACAATTCTCTTGCTGGTCGGGTCAGGGACAGGCTGAGGGCGCATCCCAAAGGAGATCCAGTTAGGAAAAGAAGTGTCGGGAGAGGTGACCAGGAGGCAGGGGGTAGGTGTGTGGGGAAAGCAGGAGTGACCAGTGCTTGTTGTCTAGAACTGGCCTATGCACGTAACCCCACTCACACTGGGACTTTGAGCAGCTTGCTTCTGCGTCCTCAACCATCTTCACACTGCTGGTGCCAGCCCAAGGGGCATGGGGACTGTTGGCATGTGGCCATGGGACACCCCACCCAGCTGAATGTGGCCACGGGAAGCATGAGCCTGCACTGGAGTCTTGTTATTTGGGGTGTCAGAAGCGGTCATTGCTGATGCACGATGGCTGGTTTATTTCATGCCCCCTCCTTTCAGGACGGATTGCAAGCCACTTGTAAGCACATAGACAATCCTGCAAAGTAACGCAGATGAAGTGTAGGCCGAGAAGCAGAGAGAAGGCAAGTCCTACGCACTAGCACTCCTCTGTAGGCCCTTGGCCTCCATGCATGTACTGCTCACCATCCTTTTATGTCAACACTGTGATTAGGGTCGCGTGCGGCTCGCATGCTATGGCGCTTTAGAAAGAAAGAAACAAACAAACAAATCCCCGTGACTTTATGTAGAGTCTGCACAAAGGACATGCATGTGACTGTTTTTATAAACAAGTTTCAAAAAGGTTTTGCTCATTTATCATAGTTTTCAACTTTCTGATGCCCTCTTATGCATTTGTATATGAAAAAATGTCTTTGAAATGTTTTGGACAATAATTCTTGTAGTGCTGTCATCCAGTCTCAGCATCTTTTATAATAGCCACTTATTAATAAGTAGTATTTTTCATTAAGGGGGACCAACACAGTTGGGCATGCTTTAGGATGAACTGAATTCTTGTTTAAAGCATCGCACTTCCGTGTGAAAGGACTCAGGGTGTAGGATGTAACCGAACTGAAGCCCTTGCAACAAGGCAATTCAGATTCATACAACCCTATAGGACAGAGTAGACTGGCCCAGGAGGCTTAAAGGCCTTGACGGTTTTAAATCTTCACAGCAGCAGACCGCTACGTCCTCTCTTGGGATAGGCTGTGGTGGAGTTGGGCTGCTCGCTACAAGGTCAGCAGTTCTCAACTACCAGCCGCTCCCTGGGAGAAAGACAGGACTTTCTACTCCCATCGAGAGTTACAGTCTTGCAACTCACAGGGGCAGCTCTACCCTGTCCTGCAGGGTCACGATGAGTCAGCATTAACTCGATGGCAGTGAGCTTGAACTGTCAACCTTTTGGTTGGTTGCCTCACTGTTGTGCCTCCGGAGCTCCTACAGGATGTAAACCCACTCCTGTGGATTGATTCTGACTCATGGGAGACGCTATAGGACAGAGTTAACTTATCCATGGGGATTCAGAGTCTGTAAGTCTTTAGAGGAGCCAAGAGCCTCATCCTTCTATCAGGGAGCTGTTGGTGGGTTTGAATCACTCACCTTGAGGTTAGCAGCCCAATGCTTACTCCCCCCACACACCCGGTGCTCCCAGGGCTCCTGTAGGGTGTCAGGCAACCCACAGGCCTGGGGCTTTTGATGCCCTCTGGGAAACAAACATGCTCCCCACTGGTCTGGTTCAGGGGGCCCTGCTGGGCTGAGTGGTACCCCTAATAGTCTCTGTGGTTTTGCACATCGAACTAAGTGGCCCTCAAGCCAATTATTGCCAGACCACCAGTTGCCTTTGAATCTACTTCGACTCCCAGAGACCCTGTGGGGGTTAGAGTAGAGCTGTGTTCCGGAGGGTTTTCGAAAGCTGATGGTTTAGACAAAAACCACCAGGCCTTTCTTCCAAGTGCCTCTGGGTTAATTGGAACATCCAACCTTTCAGTTGGCAGCCGAGTGCATGAACTGTTTGCCCCCCTCAAGGACCCTCATAAAACAGCAGCACCTCCCTTATCCCATTGGTTTAGGTACCCCAGAGATGCCAGCTTACCCTTCTGGTGGGCGGCCATGGCTGGTATCCGGACGTCGTCGTAGGACCTCCCGTCTGTGATGAGGATCATGAGCTTCCTTTTGTTGGGCTTGGACTTGGTGAAGAGCTGCTCCAGGGCGAAGTTGATGGCCGCCCCCGTGCTGGTGCCTCCGCTCCAGTACCCCACCCTCTTGATGGCGTTCAGGATGTCGGGCTTGCTGCTGTACTGGTCAAACGCGAACTCCAGCCGCTGCTCGTAGGTGTACTGCACAGCCCCGATGCGCGTGTCTGTGTCGGAGATCTCAAACGCTTTGCTTAGGTTGGCCACGAACTGGAGGACTGTGTAGAAGTTGCTGGTGCCCACGCTGCTGGAGCCGTCGATGACGAAGCCGATGTCGGCCGAGTTGAAGCAGGTCCTGCTGCAGGCCAGCCGGTCAACGTCGCAGACCCGCTTCACCAGGGGCTGCACGGACTTGTGCAGACTGAACCAGCTCTGCACTTTGAGGGAGTAGAAGCCGTTTGTTCTGCACACAGCCTGGGGAGACACAGGGGGCTAGGACCATCACCAGGCCTGCGACAACCCCTCCCGCCTGCTGCCAGCCGTGGATGACCAGGGCAGCCCAAGAAGCACGCAGACTTCTAGTTTTCAACCCGGATTCTCCGAATACCCCTTTTCCATCTCAGTTCACCCAATTAGGCACTCACCGGGGCAGAGCCCCCCTCCCAGCCTCCCAGGACTCCCTCAGCTGGGGCTTGGTGAAAAGCCACCTGCTACCCAAATCCACAGGGAGATAAGAATGGAAGACTGCAGCTTCCCAGGCAGGGCTTGCCACTCCCTGGGACTGGCAGTCAGCCACCAGAGGGCAGTGGTGGGCACCCCTGCTGAAGAGGATTACATTCCACCCCTCTGGAACAAGCTTGGGTCAAGTCAACAGATACAGGCAGGGCTGTCCAGAGGGCAGGGCTCAGGTTTTTAAGCCAGGCAGATTTGAGTTCCTGTGTCTTCCTGACTGGGCCTCTGTTTAATTCCCTTATGACAAGGTTTTTTGTTTTGTTTTTTTCCTGTAGCTTTATTTTTTTTATTTTTTATTTTTTAACATTTTATTAGGGGCTCATACAACTGTTATCCCAATCCATACACACATCAATTGTGTAAAGCACATTTGTACATCGTTTCTCAAAACATTTTCTCTCCATTTAAACCCCCGACATTAGGTCCTCATTTTTCCCCTCCCTCCCCGCTCCCCCCTCCCGCATGAGCCCTTGATAGTTTATAAATGGGTATTTTGTCATATCTTGCCCTGTCCGACGTCTCCCTTCATCCACTTTTCGGTTGTCTGTCCTCCAGGGAGGAGGTCACACACAGTTCCATGTAATCGGTTCCCTCTTTCCTACCCATTCTCCCTTTACCCTCCCTGTTTTGCCACTCACACCACTGGTCCTATAGGGCTCATCCATCCTGGATTCCCTGTATTTTCAGTTCCTATCTGTACCAGTGTACCTCCTCTGGTCTAGCCAGCCTTGCAAGATCGAATTCAAGTCATGGTAGTGGGAGCGGGGAGGAAACCTTTAGGAACTAGAGGAAAGTTGTATTTCTCATCATTGTTACATCGCACCGTGACTGGCTCATCTCCTCCCCGAGACCCCTCTGCAAGGGGATCTCCAGTGGCCTACTGATGTGCTTTGGATCTCCACTCCGCACTCCCCCCATCATTCACTATGGTAAGATTTTTTGTTCTGATGATGCCTTACACCTGATCCCTTCGACACCTCGTGGTTGCATAGGCTGGTGTGCTTCTTCCATGTGGGCTTTGTTGCTTCTGAGCTTGATGGCCGCTTGATTACCTTCAAGCCTTTAAGACCCCAGACGCTATACTTTTTGATAGCCGGGCACCATCAGCTTGACAAGGTTTTTTTTTTAAACCAGAAACCAAAAAACAAAAAACACCTCTTTGGGTGGTATCCCTTTTGACTGCCAGGGACCCCCACGAGTACAGAGTAGACCTACGCTGCGTCCGGGTGGTGATTCCGGTGGGGAGCGGTGTCGAGGTGGGGGTTTATTGTGGCAATCTCGCCAAGAGCATGGAGAACAGCACTGTGGCCCTCCAAACAGAGGGGACCCCTCCCTGCAGGCTGCAGGGCCGCTCTGGAAAAATTCCCTCCTGGCACGTCCTGTCTCCTCTGCATCCCCAACCACAACAAATGCTTCCCTTAAGGCAGTTGCAAATCAGCAGCGAGAAACCCGTTTGGGGTGCTCCTGGAAGTAACTGGGCTCCTAACGTTCCTCCTGGCCGGGCCTCACTCACAAGGCAGAGAGAGAATCCAAGCCCTGTGACTATAGGTGAACCGGAGCCACTCCAAAACCCCGTGGAAAACCATATGAGTGGTTCTCAACCTCCCTAATGCCGTGACCCTTTAATACAGGTCCTCATGGGGTGGTGATGCCCCAACCATAAAATTATTTTCGTTGCTACCTCATCACTCTAATTTTGCTACTGTTATGAATCGGGCGACCCCTGTGAAAGGGTCATTCTACCCCCAAAGAGTTGCGACCCACAGGTTGAGAGCCACTGATTAGAGCATTCCTCGGAGACATTTTTCCAGTGGGCTTGTGGAAACCTACTAAGTGGAGTCCAGGCAAGTTTACGTGACCGAGACGGTATTGAGGTGGGCCCTGCAGGCACAGCGGAGTTCTAGCTAATGGATGGGGAGGGCTGCCCATCCGGCAGCTGAGGCAAGTCATGGGGGGGAGAGAGTGGGGCCTGTGGGCATGAAGGGAGGGAGACCAGTGGGTTGGCCTGTGTGTCGGTCAGAGTGCCATGGGAACCAGGATAGATTTGGAGGAAGGAGGCCATCAGCTGGGAGGAGCCCTTCCTAAACCCAAGTTGACTGTCACTGTGAAGTTGGAATTGAACTGGGGAGAGAAGCCAGATGCCGAGTCCAGCGGGGACAGTATTGGGCTTGGGAAGAGCAGAGGGGTTTAAGAAGGAATTTCAGGGTTCAGCAGCTGATGAGGCATTCTGGGATGGCTCTGTGCAGGGTGTAGGCACCGTCTCTTTAGGGCAAATAGGAACACCCAGAGGAGGGGGGTGGGGGGAGGCGAGAAAGCCAAGTGAGAAGAACAGAGGGCCAAGCCCGAAGCCCTGAGGAAGCTGTGGTTAGGGTTCAAGACTGACAGAAGGAAGTGGAGGGGAAAGGATGGATAGGAGGGGTCAGTAGTTGGATAGGGGGTGAGGTGCTGAGCACCCTTCAATTTGCAAATGGAGACAATGAAAGCTGGAAGGGCCTCCGAGATGAACCGTCTGAGGTGCCCTTTCTTTCTTAGGCTGGGACTTTTTCTTTGGGGGCGGTGAATGCGTGTCCCACTGGAAAGCACACAAGCTGAACTGGTTGATGCTGCGGGCGTGGGAAGCCTCAGTCCTATCTGTTCTCCTCAGAGGCATTTGCAGTGAACCTGGGAGTAGCATTTGAATGCTACTAAGTGGCCTAACTACACTTTTGCATTCTTTACCACTGTGTGAGGTGTGTTGGTGGGGAGGGGGTGCTCCCCTAGCTCCCCTGGGGCTGGGAGAGGAATACTATCCCGAAGCGCTTGGCCTTGATTTACCATGAGGGCACGGAGCTTTGTTTGGAGAGGTTAATCCAGGTGCCAGCCTGACCTCTGTGGCCAGAGGCCTATCTGCGTAGAAGTGGGCCAACACAACACAGTGCCACCTGACCCCAGCCCATGGCGATCCTCTGTGGTCAGAGTAGAACTCCATAGGGCTTTTCAGTGACTGCTTCTCTGGAAGTAGATAGTCACTTTCATGACACAGGGATTCCATGTTTGGAGGAAGGAGAACCCCACTTTGAATGCGGCACAGCTCTTCAAAGTGCAGAGACCCCGGAGGTAGAGCAGACCCCGGGCAAGGCCGTACCTTGTTTGCAAAATTGGGCTCTATCACATATTGCTTCTCATTTCCCACGGCGCCTTCAACGGTGATGAAGAAAACGTTGATGCCGGACTCTCTTGCAAGTCTGGAAGCCTCCTCCACTTTGTCTGTGGGCCAGCCGTCCACCATTACCACGGCCACGTTGGGAGCACCGTGCCGGTTCCCATTGGCTTTTGAGAAGAAGTGCTTGGTCACAAAGGAGAGCGCTCGGCCTGGAAGAAAGAGGGAACGTGTTGAAATGACCCAACCTGTGCGCATGTCCCTCGCTGCCCTGTTCTGTAGGGTTCTGATGGGCTGTGACTGGGCCGGCTTCTATCTGCTGCTTCTCCTTCAATGACATCATCCTCAGCATGCAGAATTCTATCCTTCTGAGCTCTCCATCGTAAGCATCCAGGTTACTCTGCTTCCCTGGGCCACAGGGGAGGCTGGGAGACAGGAGACCATATAGAAAATGCAGACCAGGCACCAACACATGGCCACACAGAGACTCTGGTAGTACTTTAATCTCATGGCTAAGGTGGGAGCCTGCAGGACTGGGCAGCCCATGAATTACCATTATGCACTGTGTGGCTGGCCCGGAGACTCCTGTGTGCGCTTGAGGCACATTAGGTGTCTCTGTCTGCTGCATCCCCTCTTCAGGGACAGAACAGCTGTGACCCAGCTGGGCGGAGGGGCCCACTCCTGCCATTTGGATGGAGAAGGAGCTGAGTATAGCACAAAGACGTCCAAGAAGACATGCACATTCACTCCTGTCCCAGTTTCATTTTAAGTATTCATTAAAGGCTTCTAATAGTCTCTTTTTTAAAAAAAACGAGGTGACCAGAAAGCAAGCAAGCGAGAGTGACTTGCTCAGGCAGGGAAAAAAGGACCCTTCTCTGCCTGTTGACCAGAACCATCTTGTGGCAGTTAACATAATTACATGTCAACTTGAAGATCTATCAAAGTGTAGGAGAGGAGTTTAGCCTGTCAATCAGGTCACGACTTTGTGGGCGTGACCTTCTCATAAGGAGGGTTCTGGGAACCTCCCCTCTCCCCACCCCCTCTGCCTTCATTTTCCTGCTGGCTGACCCTGGTTGCTGCCAGAGTCATGGAGATGCCCCAATCACCGCTGGATCCACAAGACTTTGCACTCCCCAGCCTGAGCTCTTCCCGCAGTCCGTATCATTGCATGTGACTGTGTGAGTCTGGACTAGTGTCAGACACATGGATTGGAGTTGGACTGGGCTGGGCTGTTCTCTCAATTTATAATTACTTCTT